AAAAGAATCATACCACAGTGATATATGTGCACCCATGTTCATAGCAGCACAATTTGTAATAGCTAAAACTTGGAAGCAGCCCAAATGCCTATCGACTGGAGGCTGGATAAAGAAAATGTGGGTTTTTAAAAAAATAAAATGGAGTACTACTCAGTCATAAAAATGAGAACTTAGAGACATTTATAGCTAAATTTATGCACATTGAGGTGATGCTCTTAAGCGAAATAAATAGTACACACATGTGTAAATACTGAATAGTTTCTCTAGTGTAAGAAACTGCAAGTGTAAATAAGGACTAAAAGGTATAATAGATAATGTGAAATAGGAAGAAAAGAGGCAAAGGGGAAGGGGAAGAGGGAGGGGTAGTGGAAAGGAATTGAATTAATATGAGAAAATGAAAAAATGGAAACTAATTCTTTGTAAACAGGGAAGGATGGAGGGATTGAAGGGAGTGCAGGAGAATGGGGAAAAATTAGAACCAAGAGAGATTATGTAAAGGTGCAAATTCCCAATGATGAATGCCATTATATTGTATACCTAAAATGTACCAATAAAATTAATTTAAAAAATAATGATTTTATAATCTGCTACCAGAGGATATTCCTAATATTAACTTTGTAAAATTAACTGGTTAACATAGTTACTGTTAACATAGATATTGCCTACCTACTTTTTGCCCTAATTTTAAATCACCTGAAATTTCTTAATTTTTGCTTTTTTATTGTGTAACTAATTCATTATATCTACGATTAATTTTATAGTAATTTACAAATGCAATACTGAGCATTTTTACTTACACTGGAAGATAGAATTTGAATATGTAAAGCATATTACTGCCAATTGCATCTAAAATGCTCATCTATACTTGAACGAGAATACAGTCTATTCAGTTGTTTAACATAAATCAGAATGGCTTGCTTTTTTCAAATGCTGCTCAGAAATGATGGCTTCTGTGTCATGTGAGCAGTGATTACACACATGTGTCAGCTTGTTAGAAATGTGGCTAGAGTAGATCTTTGGCTCTTTGACCATCTAAGCAAATTCAAATGTATGCCATTGAAAGAATTCACTCAGAAAGTATGGGTCTGAACCCTAGCTTTGCTACTTTTGTTTTCTATATGTTAATTTAACACCTAGTATGTGCAAAAAAAATCAATCAAATATAAGAAGCACATAAATGAGTAAGAGGACAGCCCATGTTCACAAGGTGCTGATATTCTAGGGAGAGGCAATAGTTTACACAGCTGGTCTAAGTTCCTGTCTTCTGTTCTTACTCTAGGATTTTCATAAGGAGGTCAATAAAGGTCAAATCAGTTAATGTGTACAGTCATATTACTTGTGCTTGGTAGATAACATATTCACTAGTATTCTAATGGTCCCTACCACCTTATTGGGTAGATATGGGAGCATTCTTGAAGTCCACTGCCCACATTTGAATCACAGATGGCTGCATGGCTTTGGGCATGCAATCTAATTTCTTAGCTTCTCAACTTACTACAAATTCTGACAATTTTTTTACTCCTTTCATTGAAAATTAAATTATATAACAGTTATTCAGAACCCACCATAGAATGTACCACTTTTATCACTATAATATGATGTCTTTAATTCTTTGGGAAGATACCTACAAGAGGAATAGTTCTGTCAAATGTAATTTCTATTTTTAGTTGTTTGAGGGATCTCCATATTGATTTCCATAGTGGTTGTACTAGTTTGCATTCCCACCAACATGTGGAAGGGTTCCTTTTTTCCCTGTAGCCTAGCTACCATTTATTGTTATGTGATTTATTGATGATATCTACATTACAGTGATACATACATACCCATGTTCATAGGAGTATAACTCATAATAGCCAAATCTTGGAAACAGCCCATATATTCATCATCAGATGCATGGATAAAGAAAATATGGCATTTGTGCATAATGAAGTACTACTTACCATAAAGAAGGATAAATCTAAGTCATTTGTAGGGAAATGTTGCACCTTGAGACTATAATGTTAAGTGAGGTCACGCAAGCTTAAATATTCCCTGGTTTCTTTTAAGCGAGAAACCCAAAGCATAAATAATTTAAGAGCAAAATAAAAGATAGATAATAGGAAATAGGGAGATTGATGTTTTCCAAAAGGGAAGGGAACCAAGATATAGAGGGAAGGAGAAGAGATGAAAAAAGAATTAAGGTATGTTATGTACATGTACCAACTCCCCACAAGAGTTTAATCAATATGCACTGAAAATATGTGCAAACAAAAATAAAAATTTAAAAAAGTGTACCACATAATAAATGCTCCACTGCAGCTAATGCTTATTACCATTCAGTGTAATTCATTCTCAACTTAAAACTAAGGGGTTGCACAGAGTTTGTGCAGTTTACACACAGTCACTTAAGAAGTTGCAGAGGTGAGACCCAGACAAGTCCACACCCTCCCTTTATAAAAACATTTTTAGAGATGTAACTGTTGGATAACTCTGAGGGATGTTTACTGTGTCCTCAAGTCCAATTTCTTTGCTTTCTGTCCACATTACAGACCACCAGGCGAGCTGGACTCAAGACGTGAAGGTAGATTCACTCATTTGACCCTAAGCATACTGGTCTCCCTCTCACTGAGCCAAGCCTGAGAGCTGAGCTCATTGTGTGTGATTTGCTTGTATATGCGACCTGAGTTGGTTTGCAGAATTACTCCCTAATGATGGCGGAGAAGTTGCAAGGATCTGACAACCCTCGAGAAGGCCGGGAGAAGATCAAGAGAAACATCCTGAGGTACACCAAGAAGGCATGGGCTCCTCTGGATGAACAGCTATATGCTGACCCCAAGGAGGAAAGCCAGACTGCCACCATCCCCCTGCTGGGTGAGAAGGGCCCTCGGGAGTATTTGAAAAAGTTAAATTTGTGAGTGATGAGGAATATGAGGCTTTCAGCTAGGGGGCAGATGAATTTGGAACTTGGATTTTGCTTCGAAGAAAGTTCTATGAATAGACACTTCGGATTTGCACAGACCCCAGAACTTCTCAACAGAAGTAGAGCGACTAAGGAATGAATTCTGCTTCCTTTCCATTCCAACACCCCCTCATCTTAAGTCCCCAAGACTTGGAAGCCATAAGGACTCGTTCTCTGGAACACAAAACTTCTTTCAGGATATCATGTTTTTGAAGAGTCTTGGGATCTTGCATGTAGCATTGATAATAAGGTTAATAATCTAAAGAGTAATGAGTAAGAAAATACCTACAAGGATGTTTTTCTCCTTTGCCCCTCATCCAATTCATTTTACCCTTTCATAATATCTTGATTGAAAAAAACAATCTGCACCTCCCAGGCCCACTGGCATCCTTGGTTCACCTGATACCTTATGAGCAGATAATGCAGGTACCCCACTGCTTGGTAGGTTTAAGTCATAGATTATCAGCCAAGGCCAGACAGTAGCTAACCTGAATGTAAACAAATATTTCATAGGAAATGCTGCCTTTACATCCTCCCGTTTTGCCTATTGCCTATTTGGTGAGCCAGTGCTAGAGATCTACCTTAAAAGACTAGTGCCTTTTTAACACAGGGTGCCTTTGGCAATCCAGGGACTCTAGTGCAATTTGTCCCTGGAATGAATGCAAATTTGGTTTCTAACCTGGCAGAGAATCCTTGCAAATATACATCATTGGCTGGCTGCCTTAGGTAAATGTCCTGATTCAATAAGGAGAGGCTCTGAGGTGATTTACACCCAACAAGAGAAAGACAAAAGTCTCAAATGCTTTTTCACCCTTGTATGAACACCAGGTAATTTAAAAATCTTGCTCTGCACTGATTTCTCTCCTATTTAACATTCTCTCTCTCTCTCTCTCTCTCTCTCTCTCTCTCTCTTCCTTTCTTTTTTTGGGTTACAATCCTTTGGCAACTTTATACTACATCCTGAGGAATGTCTGATTATAGAAAACAGGAGGCCGGGCCTTTAAGGAAAAAAATGAATATGTTTACAGAAAAATGACTAAATATGTAGCACATAGAGCTATTGAGTGGTGGATGAATGATGGTGAAGTTATTTGAAGGTTGTGCTTTGACTGGTCTGTTTCTTTCTCATCTATAGAAGATTCCAAGCAGGAAAGTATCCAGCAGTGGCTGGACTCTGGATTTTTGTAAGTATTTCTCTGTGCTTTATACATTTCTCTTATAACAGTCTAGGAAAACAATGTATCCTACTGATGGAGGCGGGATATATAGGGATTTCAATATTAATTGTGTACTTAAAGCTGTACATGAACTTTAAAGTACAAAGTACAATGTTACTTTAATGCCTAGCTATTCACTGGTTTCCAAAAGTGCTCTCTTAATAAACTAACTCTGCACCTGCACTCATCAGTTTAATTTAAAACTAATTTAGTATAATTTATTTAAACCCGTGGTTTGACTCCCTTTTCTTTTCTTTTATAGTGTCTCTGTAAATGAAAACTTTCAGCAAGTCATCAACCATACTGGTAAGAGAAAAGAACCCAGAAGCAGATATGCTTCCTAGACCTGAGAGAAAATGTATGTGTAGAAAATGTGCAAATGCATCTTCCTAAAATGAGAAATGTCAGAGGCTCCTAGCAGTAGATCAGACCTCAATCCTCTCATCTGATTTATAAGATTGAGGCTCTGAAAAGATAGGCACATCAGCAACAGCAGGTTAGGGGCTGAAACTAAGGCTCTTGTAGAGTCAACACTCAGATTGCAGCAGAAAACTCACTGGGTTCTATGAATCCACTTACAAAGATGTAATTATGGAAATGAAATTGTTTAATTTTCCCTCATATTGTTTTGTGCTTTTACTTCTAAATCTAATTTCTCTATTTTTCCTCTCAAGATTATACTTTTATTATCTCTTTCTAATGATTGAATTCTAAAACAAACAATGCAAGTATTTCTGAGGCAGAAAAATGTATTACACTTGTTTCACTGAGTTTTGATAAGAGCATTCTTAAAAGGTAAAATAAATTTAATTACAGGTCTCATGGATTCCATGTTTTGTTTATTAAACAAAATGCTGTATTTCTTAGAATCTATGATTTCTAAATTATAAAATGTACTTACTTTAAAAGCACACTCAGGCAGAGAAAATGAAACCTGGATGATTACAAATGAAAGGCAGCATTTACTATGAAACACATGTTGATTTGATAGATGTTAAAATGTGAGAAAAGTATGTTTTAAAATTGACTTCGTGCCATAAATAATATACATGGAAAAAATTATGTAAATAAAGAGTTTAATGATGAAGAAGAAAACATTATTAGTCTAGTTGTAACTTACTTTCCTGGTTTTAATTCTTTTACTTCTCTCACTGCCATCTTAAGTGAAGATTGACTACTATCTACAAAAGTTTATTTAAATTTGGGAATTTTTACTTTAAAAAGATAAAACTAAGTGTATTATTTGGATTTCTCTTTCATCAAGCTGCTTTATTTTTAAAAATATGAAGTTCCATTATCCCAAAATTTTTAAGGATTTTTTCCAATAAATCAAATTTCACACACTCTCTCTTCATAGTAGTCCAGACTCAAAGGAGACACAAAAACTTAAGAAATGCAGCCAGCGTTCCACAGTGCCCTGACAGTGACCTTGCATGGGTCATGGCGAGAAGCCTAGGCCTAGTTTTGAGGTGTTTAGTAACTGTATTAATATCCTCACACCCCGAAATTACAGGCAAATGATGACTTTTCATGTGAACCAAGTCATGAACTGCAAAATCAGAGATAGGAGGTAACGACCTGGAGGAAACAGGGTCATCCACAAACATGGCTCTGAGCTCAGAGAGCCACAGCTTCCATTTGGCAGCTCCTTCATCTTCAGTAAGGCTTTTAATAATAATGGAATAGCTTCTTACAGATTCAGTTGAACCTTTGCTTTTACAAGGCCCTTGTTCATCAATCAAATATTAAACTCAGTGACCTGTGTGGACACATGCTTAGCTCTCATTTCTGGCTTGCAGGTGAAGAATCTGAGGCACAGAGTGGGAAATGCTGTGATTTGAGTCATAGCTGCTTAAAGGCAGATGGAGATGCTGGAAATCCAGGCTTCCATGGGCCTCTCTATGCCCTGGCTGCAGCCGCAGTGCCAGAGATGCACCCCAAAATCCAGGAAGCTCAGAGTCACACTGGGAAGTGTGGGTGCTTGAGCAGTACCAAAAATTGGTGATCTGAAGGTCATGGTGAGAATGTCAGGGAGAAAACTTGGGGGAAAGGAAAAAAATAACTGCAGAGGAGGAAGAAAAGTAGTCACAACTGGAAAAATAGTCCTGTTAAAACTTGTAAAATCCTAAAAGTATATAAAGTGAATGAGCATTCATTTCTTGGGGCAAACAACAAATTACTGTATACTTGGCTTAAAAAACAGAGCTTCATTCTGTTATAGGGTATGGAGGTTAGAAGTCCAAACTCAAGGTGTCAGCCAAGCTAGCTGCCCCTCTTCCAGGGGCGCCATGACATTCTTTGATGTGTAGCTGTATCTTTCACCCTGTGACTTTGTCTTCACATGGCCTCCTCTTCCTGTGTGACGTCTCTTCTTCTTGTAAAGATACCAATCACTGGATTTAGAACCCACCCTAAAGCAAATCACAGCATTTCACCACTCTGTGCCAAGCCTCAGAAGAGATCAGTAGGGAAGCCAGCGCTGGAATGAATTTCACTTTGAGTGAGGAGAGTAATGTCGCCCCCTCTCCCATTTCATTTCCATACAGAACACAAGAATGAGACCTCATTTAGAAATAGGAAAAGGTCCAAAGGGGTAGAGGTGGTGGGAGGAGATGGGGAAAGGAAAGAATGGAAAGGAAAAATTATGAGAAAAGAAAAAAGAAATGGAAACGAAGTCTATGTAAATAGGGAAGGGTGGAGGGGTGAAGGGCGCACAGGTAATAGGGAAAAAATAAGAACCAAGATACATCATGTACAGGTACAAGCACCCATTGATAAATGTAAACGTATTGTATACCTAAAATGGACCAATAAAAGAATTTAAGAAAAAAATGTAATTAGTTAAGATCTTAACTATCTCTTCTCTTTACATTATTTTTTTCTTCATCTTTCTTCATCCAACTTCTCCTATCTTAAAGTCTTTCTTGTTCTGATCACCTCTTGTCCTGCTTTTGAGGCCTGACCCTAAGTTCCATAGTCTGTATAGGGCCCTTCCTGACTTCTGCACTGAGCTGTAATTTCCTTTCTGAACACACACAAAACTCTTTTCTTGATTCTATCCACGTGGTACTTGGTCTGTGCTGCTTCAAGTTACTAGGGATATGATGCTTCTCCTTGAGAAAACTGTAATCCTTACAGGGATTTCTAGGTAGGAACTATCTCTAAATCATCTGATTGCCCCCAAAGCTAGTGAAGTTGCTGTCGTCAGATTTGAAATCTCTGGAGATGATACTTGAGCTGATCAATCAAAGAGGATATGATTTTAAAAAGCAAACAGGCAAAGCCAAAAAGTAATTTGGTGGAAGTCATAGGAATTTGAACAAAAGCACAGAAATGAGAATAAAACTAAATATGTGTGGAAAAGTACTAGAAAATGACTAGAGTGGAAAGATGGTTTCATACTAGGGAGCAAGATAGGATTTTTTTTTCTGTTAGAGTGTTCTCAGATTATAAAAGTCTGAAGATCCAGAAAGAGGGACTCACATTTGATGTCACAGGCATGGTATGGTAGTTAAAAGACATGGGAAGTTGTAACAGGGGTCTGGGATAAACATGAGTTTGATGACTTGCCTCTGTTTACCTGAAAGGGGGTCATGAATAATTTATGACTACAATTAGCGGTAACTGCTGTAAGTGCAGGGCTGGGAAATAGAACATGTATTATACCTTTGCTGTTTCTATTTTGGCAAGTCTTGAAGTCACTACAGTGAGGAGATAAATGGCAGATCCTAGTGTTTATCCTGACAGTGAAGTGAGGGTACACTGCACATGTTGGGGAGAAGTTGTAATGGACTAAGGACTGATGAAACAAGGGCTTACCCTGGGGGTCAGCAGTGGAATGGAGAAGAATTCTCACCACCTGGAAAAACCAATAGATATGGGACAAGGGGGAAAAGAGCCAAGTTTTCCAATTAGCTTTAAGTTTTCAAGCTTAAGTGTTAAGCAGAATGTGAGTCAGTCAGTCTCTCTCTCTCTCTCTCTCTCTCTCTCTCTCTGTTTTTGTAAGAACATGGATTAATGATTTGCTGCCTGCACCAAACACATACTGCTGACTGCTTCTCCTGAGTGTCCTGGTCATGCAGGAGTTAAATGTGCAGAAAACTGCAGAATGCTATTATTTTAGAGCCCTCAGAAAATGTAATTTGATTAGTCTATTGGATGATATTCCAAAGAACCAAATGTCTTCCATGAATCAGTCAGAAATGCTTAGGAAAACCAAAATAAAAAATGCTTTCTAAGCCAATAAAGGTGCTAATTAGTGCCTTCTGCATATCTAACTACATCTTCTCCAGTAATACATTTTGCAGGGTTAAGTGTGGTATCTGCTGCTTCAGATGGCAGAAGTCCACCTAACAGTAGGGAGGGTGGCTGGAGACTCAAGTATCTAGAAGGGAATCAGAACTGGAATTTCATCCCATGAAATGGGATGTATTCAGTAGAGCAAGGACTTTTTTCCTCACTTTAATTTCTCCCCAAAACAATGCTGAGGAAATGCAGGCAAAGCAGGACTTAACTTTGCTTTTTGTCTTCTCCCTCAAGAAAATAGAATCTGATTTTTAAAGCCTAACAGGTTATCCTGAAAAGAAAAAAAGGTGGCAAAAAATTTTAAAAGCAGGTAGAGAGGGCCCGGGGATTTAGCTCAGTAGTTCTGCCACTTGCCTCACAAACGCAAGGTCCTGAATTCGGTCCCCGGTACCAAAAAAAAAAAGAGAGAGAGGTAGAGAAGTGTGGAAATAAAGAAGGCCAAGCTAATCCGGATGTTTCTGTGGTGGGCAGAGGTCCATCTATAAAATTTCCCCCTCCTGCCTGAGGCAGTCCCAAGCCTGATCCCAGCAGAGCTTAAGGAAATCTGGGGTAACAGTAGCATTTTGTCTGTCCTGTAAGGGCGTTCCCTATGCATCAGACTCTTGCTCTCATCAGAGGTACAGATTCAAATGCCTCTGGGAACCAGGCAGGTAATTGCTAATGAATGAACCAGGCAGCACAAAGACTGAAAAGAATCGGAGAGCAGATCCCAGCCCTGAAGACACTAAGGCAGAGCTGCTGGCTCTTCTACATTTTAAGGAAAGTCTGGGAATCCCCATCCCTGTGAGAAATGGCATATCATGGGCCTCTCCTTTCAAGTTAGTTATTGAAAATGGGCCAAGGGAAACAAGACCTGACCCTGACAAGCCCATCGTCAGGCTCTAGGAAGTTTATCTTACAAATTAGCAAAATGGAGAGAAAAATAAAAGCCCTCCAACAGACAATGGATAATCACTTCACACTGCCCTGTGCAAGACTGAGCTTTCTGTGCCCAAATGCTGCAAAGGCCAATTGCTGTTTCCTTGAGAATCAAGAAGTCAGCACACTCGACATTGCTGTGAAAATAGCACTTGGTCTCTGAGGACAGAGAGGACCTGGGAATGTAAAATGTAAACAGGAAGTGAACCTAATTAATTTTTAATAATTGTATCACAATTTTAAAAACTAGGCCTATCTCGTGAGCTTAAAAATTATATCAATTTTCCTTGGCACATTTCCCTCCAAAATTTAAGCTTTGCAGCAGAGAGGCCAATGTCTGAATGCACTGGCTGTAGATAGACATTTGTGTCATTTTCAACAAGATCAAGAAGAAAGAGTACAAGGAGTCTAGGCAAGAATGCAAAAGCTGTATCTGTACCTCAGTGAGCATGGGCCTCAGGAAGGGGGGATGCTGTCATCCCCTAATTGTTGGTGATGGCTGGGGCTCACAGGATGCTAGTTGTATGGTGGGAGGCAGGAGGCCCTTCTCCCAGCTGGTGCTAAAACTGAAAGGCATGCTTATGTCCCATCAGACCAGAAACCCTCCTGCTGTGACCAAGCTGGGCATCTTTGCAGATGAAAAGGTGTCACCTTTAGGAATTCCTTTCCTCCTGGAGGCTGCTTTTGGTTTTCTGGCAACCAGATTGTGACTGTCAATGATGGCAGTGCAGAGGGGTATGGTCCCTGGAGCGTGGCTACTATATCTGTGTGGACATGAGAGCCCATGCAGAAACCCTGGGTAAAGGGCTCCAGATTCTAAATGACCACATTTTTCTGAATGGCTAGATTTTCAGAAAGTCCAGGGCTTTTGAAAATGCACTAAGACTAAGCTAGGTCTTTTCATTGATATCTGAAAATGGATCTCTTCCTCCAACAGTGTCTGCAGTTTAGTGTGGTGCCAGGTTGCTGGACTGTATGTGTACATTCTTTCACACTTTCTAGGAAACCCACGGCAGTAGGAGAAAATAAGAAAAGACTGAGGCCATGACAAGAGCACTGGTACTGGCAGAGTATGCAGGCAAATGTTTTTAAAAAGTGTAATATTTTAGATGAGACGTGCTCAGAAACTCTCCAGAATTCTCCAGATGAGGCAAAAATGGAGGTTTTCTTGTGAGTTACATGCAAATCAGCACACAGAGGTAGTGCTTATAGAAATGGTGGCAGAAAATAAGGAGGAAAATGACTTGAAATGGTAAATATTTATTTTATCTTCCATTTGGGCAATTTATTATCTAATTCATCTTGGTATTAAATCTTTAAAATACTATTGCCTAAAAGTTGAACTGTACTTGCACTTTTGACATTAATAAGTTGATTGATAGGCTTTTTCCATGTGACAACTTGAATCAATTGTGGTGGTTTTACAAGTTTGAGTAGCTCTGAGGCTGACAGTGAGTAGACCCTTGTAAACAAGTGTGCTACAATGCCTGCCTGGATGAGAGACTTGTGTCTTGCAATGATGAATTTTCAAACTCTGACTCTTGGAGGTGCCTCATACAGTAAAGGAAAAGTAAAACGGAAGAAAATATTCCCTGGAATGTTTTAGGAAGCAGTTACATATTTTCTTCAAGTTATTGACCTTTGAAATTTACATACATGTTCCAATATTACTGTATTTTTCCAAATACACATTAAGTTTATTCTAAGCAAAGAAAGACAGATACACATCATATTATGAGGTAATCACAATCAGATGTTGATGCATTTCCTGAAGATTCTGAGAAACTATCTGGATTCAGTGAGAAAGTTATATAATTGATTGATGATTTTCATTGAGAAAGTTATATAATTGATTAATGAACTCCACTGTGGGAACAGATTTGAGAGTAAAGCACAGACTTCTATATCATCACTGTGTTTTTCAACCTTTGAAATAGACGAATGTTTCTCACCCTATCTGACTCTTGTGGTGACAGAGCTCAACTTGTTTTGTAGGGTAGACAGATACTGGTATACCTATTTCCTCACCCCCTCTTTAAATTGTAGTTGTGTATCTGGTCTTAGATAAGAACTCACTCATATCTCAATAATATATCTCCAGTCTTTTATCTTTCTAGACCAGTGTTCCTTTTTCTTAGCAAAGTATTTCAGCCTTTTAAAAATTTGTTCAAAATCATAAATACTCCTATCTCCCCCCCCCCCAGATTTCACACACAGAGAAGATTATAGATAACTTGAGGTCTATTTATAGATTCTCTACCCAGACAAGAATCCTGGACTCCCAATTGCAATGCTTTATTATTTTCAGCATTCTTTTATGTTTCAGTTGCTCAGGTTTGTCCATCTAGTATTTCTCCAAAACATTTCCTATGGTGAAAAACTTTATGTTCTTGAATAATCACAAAGATGACAAACACTTCCCAGTTATAAACATGTTATACATTTGTACCCAGGAAAAGCATGACTGAAAGAAAATGAGACCAGTGAGCCTTCTGGAAAATTTGTGTATATCAGCCAAATATTATGTCGTGACAGTGTCTGAATACTACAAGAACCCCCAAATTGGGTGCTGAGACTTCCACTTTCATGCATATTCTCAGACATTCTGTCCCCAGCACTTCCACCACACAAATGGACCTTTGGCATTTTCTCTCTCATGTTTAGTTCCTTGCTCAAAAAACTTAAAACAAACACCTTGGCTTGACACATACATAAAACTCCTCTTTCTGCCTTTCAGATAAACTACAAGGCATTCTGTTGGCAGTGTGGCGTTGTGAAAAGAAACAAAACAACAACAGCAACAATAAACTAAAATAAGCTGTGGCATCTTACTAGCCATGAGAATTTCTTTAACCTCTCTGAGCCTCAATTTTCCTCTCCATTAAATGAGAATTAATAGTACCTATTTCACCATTTTGTGAGAATTAAAAGAGATTGTACATGTAACACAGTACATTGCCTTGTACAAAGATATAACTAAATAAATAGTTTCACTGTTATGATTAATAATAAAGGTAGTAATAAATTTCTATATCAGCTATTCTTGACTGTATAATTAGGGACTCATTACTAAATTTCTGCAAGTCTCATTTTCCTTATCTGAGAAATGAAGCTAACTCCTCAATTATAAGGGTGGTGGAAGGATTAGATGATAAAAATAAACGGAAGGTGCTCAGTAAGCATTGCGTCTTTCATATCTCCTTTTGTCTGCATCATCCCTGCTCCTCAGTGGGCCTTATGTAGATATCTTGCATGTGTTCCTATCATACCAGTCCCAGCACTGTGCATTACACTTACTACAGACACTGTTTTTCCTCACCTTTAATGGAAATACCTCCTTTCCATTCGTGAAATTCTTCCCATTCTTCAAACTTCAGAACAAATACCATTTCTTCCATGAAACCTTTGCAGACACCTCCTTTTGTCACTGACTTCCCTCTCAGTGGAACATGTACCTTTCTTTAAGTACTTGCCACACCATTTAGCCATCCATCACACTGTCTTGTCCACCACAGAAATCCCTTGTATTTTATGCCTATACAACCTTGGATATGGAAATTCAGTTCAACCAACATTGGGTTACTTGGACATGAGAAAATCTTCCATGAGATAAAAGGAAATTAAGTTCACCTCTGCTTTTTTGTTTTTGCAGTTTCTTTGCATGATCAAGGAATGGTTCAAATGACTGTGAAAGACTACATGAGGTAGGTAGCAGAATCAGAGTAATTTCACTCCGACATTTTACAGCCATATCTATGATAAATGGAGTAGAACTGTGTCTTAATAATACCATAGATCTTGGGATCTACTGAAAGGTCACTGGTTTAGCATCAATGCCTATAACATTTCATTAGCCTTGAGAAACAGAGGTACCTTAGATGTTCATAAACGGATGGCAAAATGAACTCAACAAATGCTGACTTGAGGGATATTTAATTAGAACCTCTGAATAAATGTCATTCTGCTACAGTGCAACTGTTCATAAAGACCTGTTCATAAAATGGCTACATTCATGTTTTCACATTGCCAATGTTATTAATCATCATGCTGTTTGTAGAATAATAATACATATAATTTCCAAAGTTAGGTAGGACACTTGAGTCTCTTAATATAAGTAGAGACGAGGTCTCAATGTGTGGTCCCCTATAGCACCAGGATCACCTGGGGCCCAAGAGAAAAGCAAATTCTCAAGCCCCTACCCCAGACATACTGAACTAGGAAATCTGAAGGTAGAGTTTGGAGTTCAGTTTGAAGGTTCTTCAGATGATTCTGAGGCACACTGTAGCTTAAGATAAACTATGAACTCTTCAAGGTTAGGAACTTTACTTCCAGTGCTTGCATCTTCCTTGCATTTTCTGGATAATGCCAACTACCTGAAAACTGAATATGGATCACTGTGGCCCTCTTACTCCTACCAATTCACACCTGGAATGCTGTTTTTCATTGTCCTTCTCCTTAATGGATTGGTTGATTTTTTTGCTACTATGAAGCTATAAGTGACCACAAGAATCTCCCACACAACCCTGTTAGTTTCTCAAAGAGGAAACTTGAGAACTGAGTTCAGTGACCAGCTCATGCTCCCTGGCTTTATTAAAATGGTGACTCCACATGGACACTACTGGATCCAAGGCCAGGGCTGCTTCTGGGTCACTCTGCTGAACAATAAAAAATAAGGTGTGTGCCCTTTAAACTCTTTAAACCCATGAAAACTAAATCATGGGGGGCTAATATAAACTGAGATGAGGCAATAAATGAATGTTTTCTGCCTGTACTCAAGGATCCCAACAAGCTATAACTATAGTTTTAAAAGCAACTTGTTTTTTTCTCAGCTTTAAAGAAAAGATGCAATTAAACAGGGAAAATGTGGGGTCTATTCATTCTTACTAAATGTGGATAGGACTTAGACAACTTTGGCAGCCCAAGTAAGATAGCTTGATGTCTTTGGAAACATTGATATCCATACTGTATTCTTGAATACATTTCAATTTTATGCCAATTGTCTGTTATATTTGATGGTACTAGGTATGATCCATGATATTAGATGAGCTATGTAGAAATGAACTATATTATAGTAGAGTTCCCGTCTCTTTGGAAGTGTTTTCAAATGATCTGCAGTACTGGCCTGTTGGATCAAGTGATGACCATTCTTTTTGTAATGAAAGAGTTCTGACTATTGCATTTTAGTGGCCACAGGAGCCCTGGGGATAGCACTTAGAGATTATTAGCCATGCAATCTGAAATCTTTCTCTGTTAGGAGAATTAGTGTGAAATTGCTTCAGTGGCTGCTGACTGTACCTCTTTCATCACATAATTTTAACTTCTTCCCCAAAGTTAAAGCCTAGAAAAGCTGTGTTTATGAAAGGTCCCCCAATGATTTGCCATCTGTCAAGAGTGAGACATTCTGTCACCTTTATAACGAGCACTAGCGGGCACCTAACACTTAAATTCTCACACCTTCTGTGACAGAACACTCTGAAAGGAGGAGCAACCCCTCAGCTGCAAGTTCTTCCTTAAAGGCATGGCCATTATGGCTTTAGAAACTAAAGGGAAAGATTGACAGTGACCCCCTGGGGACTCTAAATCAACATGTCTCATCCTTGGTACTTCCTCTCCCATTGTAGATCTCTCCACCAGTTTTTAGAAACTCCTACCCTATCAAGAGGGACCAGTTTCAATTCTTGCCATGCTACTGCAAGTGTACCACAAAGGTATGTGATTTCTGGGCACTTTTCATTCAGAGAAGTGATTCTGCACAACAGATTTCATGAAATTATAAATAAGCACTTGAGAAATATTTGTTAGGTTAATGGATGTGAAAATGAATAAAAGATAAGAGTCAGTGAAATTGAAAACAGTCTAAAAATCTGTTAATGGGGAAATAGTCAAATGAACAATTGGCTCATTAGTTGTATGAAATTACATACAACAGTAAAAAAAAATAGGTAGAAATCACAAGATATACCTAATTTATGGAGAACATATCTCTACCTATTAGAAAGATCTTCAAGTTATATTTTAAAGAAAAAAAACAAGATGAAGAAAGATGCATAGTGTTACTATTTATAAAGCAAAAAAGGGAAATCTACAAAGCATGCATGAAACTATATAGAAATATGTCCAGAATAGATTTAGCAATAAAGGGATCAGGATTAGTAAGAGTGATGCAAAGAGAGGAGAGACATTTATTTGTAATACGATAACTTTTAAAAAATAAAGTGAATATGTATTTCTTACACAATGAAATGTATATTTAAAAGTTAATATTTTCATCATGATATGAAACCATTTGAATGGCAAATCAATCAATAATTATATTATTGACCATGACGCTATACCTTTTGGAAGGTGAGGATTATCTTTTTTTCATTTTTTTTTTTTTTTGCCATGGGTACTTCCATAGAGCCTGGAACATGGCAGATGTTCAATAAATATTTGTATAAATGGATTGAATAAAAATTTGTACAATGAAGTTGATAAGAGGTTAAATCTTTCATGTCCAATTTATATTTCTCACCAGGTATCATTTTCTTCTTTGAACCTCTTCTCTTCTAAGGTGTCTATGTTAATGTAATTGAGAGAGTGGCACCCCCAGCTCTCCAGTGAGTTTTGATGATTAAAATGATGCCCTTCGGCCAAGGGTTCTCAGTCTCTTTTTTTCCTTGATTGAATCAGGAGTCAAAGCACCAGATCTCCATGACACATTAGAAAATGAACATGATGGTGTGGTGGCAGTGAATGGCCCTGCCCATGAGACTATAGCTATGACAGTAAAATTATCTAAACTACCTCAAATAAATCTGTTAGTGCTACATGTAAAGTAATGGCAAGCAGTAACTTCCAAGAAAAAAAAACACAAGCAAACCTGGTAAAACCTTATCAAAAGTTCTGAAGCCAAGAGAGGCCACAAGTTTTGTAGCTTGTAACCCAGGAGAAGTTCTGTAATTGGGAAGTGGGCTAGTATACATAAATACAATTTCCACAAAGCTAATGTTTACCATTTTCAGTGCCAAAGTGGACTGGGACATTTTGACAAAAGCATTTTTTGTTTCTCAGCCAAGTTCAAAAACAACAGAACATATTTTAATCCTAGCTAGGGACTCAAAATCATTATTTGTAAACATCAGTCCTTGTTATCTGCACTTAGTAATATCTGATAGATTTGTGTAGCTGAGGAGTCACCCAGGCTGAAACAGTGTTCTTCTGTGAGTCTCCTGTTGGCAGTCTTTTTCTGCTTCCTCTCTTGCCATCAATTACCACTTCTTGGTGTTGTCATTGTACACTCTCCGGCTTCTGTTCTACAATCTCCCTGCCTTATCTAATTTAACATGTGCCCACTAGGGGAATGAAAAGCCAGATGGATAAACTCACGGCATTATATGTAAAGTACAGGCAGGCAGTCCCTGAGTGGGGTGACTGACAGTCCTGTAAGTAAGTATATATGATCTGTTATGAATGTACCATCTGTCTGTTCAGGTTCCTGTCTCACTCATTTTCCAGAAGAAACAAATGGCTTATGTTTAAGTGAGCTGTTATTAAATGAAAATATTCTTATTTTTATTGCAGCATTCCTGAATGGCTGGAATTTTGGGAAAAAGATCCTGTGGAGATTCTCTTGGATCTAGGTTTTGGTGCTGATGAGCCAGACATCTGCACACAAATCCCAGCCAGATTCCTTCACTGTGGCTCAGCAGTCAGAGGAATTGACAGCCATGTTTTCCTTGAAGCTCAGAAGCAGCGGATGCACCTTGAGAACCCTGACTTGTATGGTGAGTGCAGAATATAAACAAGCATCTCAGCAATAACAATAGTAGGCCACAATACTAGGCAGCATGGGCTGGTAGACTGTGTGCAGTCACAGCCAACACCTCTCTTGCAGCATCTTAAAACAGAAAGCATTTCTCAATTATACATCTGCTATAGATTGGCTTATATCTTTGGGAGAAGGGCTGATCTGTACCATACTGTCCTCACTCGAAGACTTGCCCCCCACCACCAATCTGGAATATCACTATTCCAAAATGACAAGGAGAGTAGAAAGGGAGAACTGTACTCAACTCTTAAATTATTCCACTCATAATTTACACATATTAGGTCTGTTCAGGTTTTGTTGGCCAACAAGTCAAATGGCCACATAACCCAGGTGTTGAAAGTGTGGGAACCAGACATATTCCCAGAAGGAAAGAAGTTGGTGATACTGGTGAGTGTCACTTATTTATATCATAGCCACACACCAAGGAGACAGAAAAATTGCTGTCAGACAAGGCTTATCATAAATCATTAGGTAAAACCTTAATTTTTTCATTTATGAGGCTTAGACCCCTACAGTTTACACCTTTACCTTATTATTCTATTGTAGATTTGCCTGATCCTTACAGTTATATACATACTGGTCCATTTACCCAGCAAGTGATTGGTATAATCATTTTCCTAGGACATTACTAAAGTTGTTCTTGGGGTATATGTACTGTATCTGAATAATTTGGGGGCATATGTCTTGCAGTTTTCAGTTTATTTGCTATTACATTCCTTCGGTATGCTACGGTGCACTTTCAGTCTCTCAGAGAAGATGTAGTATGGCATTTTCAAAATGATTTAAATGTAGAATCCCTCTTGCAGAGCCAAAGAACACCTTCATGGAATAAACTTTGGAGGAATTCCAGGTGACAAAATGACAAACTTTTGTTTCTGAAATAAATTATTTTAAATAAATAAATTCACTGAAAGGAAATTCAAGGGAGATGAAGTGTTCTTCTCAAATAATTATTTAAAACAAAAATGTCACTTAGATTTTTCATTTTAGTTCCTTTTCCTTCATTTCATGTGGGTAAAATGGGTCTCAAAACCTTAGCTATGAAATTTTTAAAGATAAGTACATAAACCTGAAGGTGTTGTGTTATAAAGTTTCTTTACATTCCTAGAACAATTAATTTTGTTCTTTGTTGTCTCCTCAAACAGCACAGAAATGTAAGTTCTTTGATCAGTTCTTTATTTGGGGAGAATAATAACACTTATCAATATTTGAATAGTATTCAAGCTGATCTGTGAAGTAAACATTTTACAAATGAAATTGACACATGGATTATAGAGGAACTAGGAATTGGTCCCTGATCCTGTGATTTCCTGGCCTACTGTGATATCCGCTGCTTAGCACTCACCAATACACTTTGGATTGAAGAAAACTGAGAAGGTTGAATATAAAACAAGGAATAACAAAATTAGTAGACTGCTCAAAAGATAAAATGGATAATTATGTCTCATTCAGAATCAATACAATAAGTTCAAACATGAGGATGAGAATCAATTATTCCATTCAATCTACCCAAAGGCAAAAATAAAACATGGCACCAATACTTTCAGACTACTGTGTTCTCTGAATTGACTGAACCAATAAAATTGATAGGCTTTATCTTAATCTAGGTATAAAAACCAGCTATAGGATGGGTAGAAGACAATCATAAAAGCTAAATTATGATTGGGTCATGCCCATTGGGTCACAAAAGAAATTTTGTTTCCACTAAAGCATAATTTGGGGGGTGGGAAAAATGTGATCAGAAATATTCTGAAATGTCCAAAACTGAAGAGTTCCTATAGGTTTTTTTTTTTAATTCTTTTATTGGTACATTGTAGGTATACAACACAATTACATTTCTCATTGGGAATTGTACCTTTATATAATGCATCTTGGTTCTTATTT